AGATGAAATGAATATAATCATGGAGATTTCAAATTTCTATTCTAGAACTACATATAAGATTAACTTTTGTATGAAAATCTAGTACAACCAATTTTAAGATGTACAGTGCATATTTCTTTCTTATTGGTGAGTAGAGAATGATATATAAAATAGTGATACATTTTATTTTTAGATACATTTTTTTTAGAATAACATTGCCGAAGTAAGAGGTCTGAAGAAGCGAATAGTACATCATCGATATATTCGGACAGTTCTGTAAGTTTATTTTGTATTTAGGAGTGGTTCTTAGTAGGCTATGCACTATTCTACAGATCAATTTAATTTGCTGGTTTTACAGATTGTATTTCTCGAAAATAACAAAGCTATTTAGAGAGTTGCTGGAAAGTGATCTGATACCTGATAGTTACGCTGCGGCTGTTGGTAATGCAAGACATATCGATGTTTCGTATTTCGCTGCTGGAATATTGGCTAATCTTTTGGACTGTGGCCCATGGACATTTGAACCGACATCGGATCACTGTAATCAATCCTTGGTTGGTCTTTTTTTCTTTTCAGCTGAAAAATGGCTTATTATAATTTCAACTCTTTTTTTTTGTGCAGTAATAACGGTTGAATAATCAGTGAATACATTTTAAATATTAAAAAATTACAGTGGCATACTAGAGTGAATTGACAGTACACTCAGTGCTGTACTTTATTTTTTATGTCTTTGACATGTTTAGTTGCCTTTAGCCTTATTTCATTTCATTATAGATAATGGCAGTAAAAAGATGGCCCAAAGCATTGCTAACTATGGTTGCCTATCGGTAATTGTTACTTTTTTTCTGTAGTTTTTGTTATTTTGGATTACCAAGAAAAATGTCTTACAGTTGTTTTGGAAATTTCCCGAGGACAACGAGGAAATTATTATTTTATCGGTCATTATGTTCTAGGAAGTAGAACTGTTATTATTTTTTCGCTTACAAAGACGAATTTAGTAGATAATATGCCAACGAAATTTACGAAAGAAAGAATAATGAAGAATAATGACCTGCATTAAAGCTTGTTCATTCAAGTATATGCACTTTATTTTTAGGTCATTTGTACCATTCTTTGTTTTACTGAAACAGGATGGTATAACCGGAGCACAAATGTGGGCTGCATGGGCAATCCAACATGTGTGCATCAGTGACAGACAAAATAACTATATAAAGTTACTCCTTTCGCAAGGAGGACGAGAAGAATTTTTGCGTTTAGTCAATTCAAGATTTGCTCATCCAGATGCTGTACAGCTTGCTCATTCTGTGCTCACTTTAATCAAACATTTCACTTATGACCCATCAAAACTCAAAAATTAAATCATACCATCATTAATTTGAAGGATATGGAGCACAAAATAGTTATATTATCATTTTTTGGTTAATTGATGTTGTTGTCTTTCTCTAGCTTTTGTTTTTCATTATAGGGTTCACATAAATCTCTTGGCCTTGTACTTCTCGATCCAGTGTTTTATACTGCTTCACGAAATGTTTATATTTTTAATATTTCAATGTTAATTTCAGTAACTTTTAGCTCTTGAAACAATATTGAATGTCTATGATGTTTTTAACGCGTTATTTTTCATGATGATCAATAGCACATTTTGACGTGTCTAGACTTGATTTCAATGTTTTGATTTATCAGAAAGTTATTTTCCTTGTACTAACTGATTGGCACTGAAAAAAAAAAATAGGGATTTTTAAGTTTGCATGATCACATAGCTACTTTGTTCACTTCCTGCCTTACTCTGTACACTTAGCTGTACTCATTTTTATACGGTGAAGTTTTTTAGTTTGATCGTCTCATCCGATTGTTACGTATCCCGGTGTTATCATCGTGCGCCTTTGATATCATCGTATACCATTCTGTCCATCTTCAAAGTTTGCTCTAACTTAGCTCTAAAACTATTCAATTATTTGTAATTGATCAAGTGCTATTCCGTACAGTGTATATATATACATGTATATTTTTTTATGTATCTCTTACTTTCATTCTTTTATATATCAAATAACTTATTAGCGCAGCAATAAAATGATGCGCATTTATAAATCAGTTGGTTAATGAAACGATTTTTTTTTTTTGCTGTTAATCAGCTAAATAATTTGTTCATAATTTCTCTTTAAAAATACATTTTAGATGTACCTTTAACAGTTTTTTCACTTTTTTTTGTTAAATCCATCTAAAAGCATTATACAACATAAAGACATCGATGATTTCCAATTTATTTCATTGTGTCGTCAGAATTGTTGCAAGAAAAATGAAACTTCCTTGTTGCTGATATTACTACATCTAACCTATTATACTGACGTATATACATAATTCTTAGCTCCACTTTAATTTGTTACTATTTTCTGGTATTTGTTATCAAATTTTTAAAAGTTTTATAAAAATTAAAATGAGTGGAATTTTAGTTTATTTGAAAATCGTGAATAAATGAAGGGGAAAATGTCAGATATATCTGGTTATTTCATTATTTCTAAACTATTTGTATATGTTTATTATAGATGTATATATATATATATATATATATGTATGTATGTATGTGTATATATGTATATGTATGTGTGTGTGTGTGTGTGTGTGTGTGTGTATGTGTATGTGTATGTGTGTGTGTGTGTGTGTGTGTATGTGTATGTGTGTGTGTGTGTATTTTATTGGTGCGCCGAAATTAATGATTTGATTTGAGTATAATAATAACAGATGGCAATACATTGTGAATGACCTTCTCACACTTTTATGTTCCTAAGTCCTTTTCTGCTCCCTTCGTACTCTTTCATCCGATGTCACTAGGATGAGGACAAGAGGCCCAGTGTGAGAAACATGGAATTCATTTCAGGACAATATGGCCAAGTACAATCAATTACAAAGTATGACCAAGTGATTTCATTCTATGATTTATTCAATCCTTTTCACACATTTCTTTATATAACTCTAACAATACTCAATAAATATTTAAAGTAGTAAGAAGCAAAAGATTTTTTTTTCGACAATTATAAAGTTTTTACAAACTTTTTGTCATTAATAACATTAGTTCTAAAAAAAGAACCCTTTAATATAATATGTAAGCATTATTTAAGGATTGTTTACATTTTTTGATATTAGTTGTAAACATAACGCACATAATAAGTTCTGTAATTAGTAGCACATGCATAATTAGCTAGTATTGGAATAATTTAACAAATTTGAACAAATATTTATGGCAAAGAAGGAAAATGGAATGAATTAAATGGCATTCAGTCATTTATGTTAAAATATCTTAGAGAATTGTCCAGAAAAATATTTGTATATTTCAATTTATTTTCTTAATTTATCTTAGAAATTGTATATTTCATTCAACTATTTTAAACATTTTTTCTCTTCGAAATTCATTACCGTAATCATTTCAGGGCAAATGAATTTAGAATGTCCTTCACGGGACAGAGTAGAGGAAGGGATAATGGTCGAGAAGTGTGCTAGTAGGTGTAGTAATTCTGTTAGAAATTCTGTTATATGGATAATTACTGATCGAAGGGAGAGAGAGAGGGAGAGAGAGAGAGAGAGGGGAAAAGAAGAGAAGAAATGGAAATAATAGAAATAAGATGATGGAAGCAAAAAAAGAGAGAGATAGTTATTGGTTGAATAGATGAAAAGAATTAATATTGGCATCAATTTGATTTAATTCTATTTACAACAATTCTTTTGATCAAACCGAAATTACCTATTATAACTTTCCGATTTTGTCTCCAATACTGAATTATCTTTCTCTGTCCCTCTCTCTCTCTCTCTCTCTCCTCTCTCTTCCTTTCAATCTTCATTTCTTTTTATAACATTTACATTTTTCATTTATTTTTAACTTTAATGTTTTTCTTTTCTTTTTTTTTTTTTTTAACAAATAAATAAATTATAGCTAAATTTATTTTTTATGTAATTATTTATCGCTGTTATTTTATGAACAATTTAATTCATTTTATAAAAATATCATCATGTAATTTTGTATGACAGTGTTTTGTTGGATTTTAATTAATTTTTTTAAATTAAGCATAAGGAATCGGAAAGGTGAGCATTTCGGAAAATTAAATTTCAGTGTTTAAAAAAAAAATGAGAAATCAAAAATGAAACAAATACAAGTCAATTAAAAAGAAAACAACAAAAAGCAAGAAAAATTGACTCAAAATTTAATTTAGTTTTATTTCGCTATCAGTTAAATTAATGTTTAATATTTGAACTAAAAAAAAAGAATGGAAAAAATGAAAGATTCTATCAACGTACCAAGCATATACACTACAAATTGTAAATTATAATTTCAATGCAAAGAAAAGATATAAAATTTAACAAAAAATAAAACGAAAAAGGAGACCGCACCTCATCATTCTGTGCTAACTTAAAAGTTAAAAAAAAAAGAAAGAAACTGTGAAATCAACTAATACAAATGTGAAATTATGTAAATAATGTCAAATAGGAATTTATTTTCGCAAGGAAATGCGACAAATTGAGTGCAGTTTGTAATTTAAGTAAAATTCTGACTTTGAAAATATCAAGAAAAAAAAGAAAATCGACCATAACATTTATTCATTACTCTACGATTTACAAAAATATATTTATATGATATTATCAAAAAGTATAAAAAAAATATCAACAATAATAAGGAGTATAAATAAATAATAATAATAATACATTGTCAATAATTTATTTTAACAAAAAAACGATCACTTGTTAAACTCTCGTCACTTTGTCACATAAGATTTATACATTATCAGTTGTGTTATCCTAGCACATTCAATCATTATGAATAATTTTTCCTTTTTTTCTTTATTTTTTTTCTGTATTCTTTCATGAATTATACCAATATTTTATTAAATTCAATTCAACAATATAATAATTTAATCTTTTATTATTATCTTATTTTAAAAATTTAATCAAAATTTACAATTTGTAATTGCTGCAATGATTATTCACCGTTAATTACAACACGTATTAAAAAACAAAAGAAAAAACTTAAGTGATCATGAAATGAGTGAAGTACGTCGATCATCTGTTAACCTTTTCAGATTATCTTGCACAATTGCACTAACATTAGTAATTGTAGCAGTATTATTAGTATTAGTAGTTGTAGTAGTATTAATAGTACTAATTGTTGTAGTAACAGCAGCAGTAGCAGTAGCAGTAGCAGTAGCAGTAGCAGCAGCAGTAGTAGTAGTAGTGGTAGTGGTTGTAGTGGTAGTGGTAATGTTATATGGCATTAAATCTCGATCAAAATTTAAACGCGGTGGACAAGTTGCAGCAGCAGCAGCAACAGGTAAAGTTGAGGTTGACACAGGTATAGCAGTAATATTTGCAAAAAACATTTGTGAAATGAATTGTGGCGGTAATGCAAAACGTGAATGCATCTTTTCTGCCCAATCTATAACAAAATAATAGCAATTTAAATTTTAAATTATATTAAACAAAAAAGAGAGAGAGAGAGAGAGAGAGAGAGAGAGAAATGAAAAGTATACTTCATTTCATTTTATAATATATGTAAATGTGACTAACACAAAAAAAATAGGTGAAATTTTTGAATTAGGAAGAAAATTTTAAATATAAAATAAATACGAATAAATTTTCGGATTATACAATTAGGAAATGATTATTTTATTTTTTGAAATATTCTTGATGTAATATATTTGTGAGAAATTTTTAGAAATTTAAATAAGCTAATTAAATTTGTTTAACTTACATAACATAAAAAATGATTCCATAATTCTAATTACTTTTTTTCTTACTTAATTTATTTTAGAAAGAAATTTAATTTGTGAATTTCAGGAAATTTGGTTGTTTGTTTTTTTCCTTCCAAAATTGCTTTCAAGCATAAATTTCAAGAAATATGCAAAAAAAAAAAAGCGAAGAGAAGAAAAAGTTAAGTTATTTTACTAATTTAGCTTATTTTATTAACCTTATAACTTTGTTTTATTGATAATTCATTTTACAAAAAATAAAAAAATGAATAATTAATTAAAATAAAATTATCTTACACTGACGAATTAATGCTTGTTGCATAATTGCTGGACTATACAAGTTGGGTAATAGCACTGGTGCATTGTCATTACGAATTTCTCTAAAGATTTTGTTTAAATTATATTAATTATTCCTTTCATAATTGTTATAATCTTTCCTTTAAACTTTTTCAACGAACAAATTTCTAAAAATAACATTAAAAATTTATTTTTCAAAAGATATAAATGAATCAATAAATAAGGAAATAAGCAAATAAATAAATAAATAAATAATCAATAAACAAATAAATAAATGAACATTAATAGAAAAAATGTGATTAAGTAATAATTTTATGTTTAAATTGCAATTTTTGATAACTTTACAATTATGCAATCGTAATTATTTTATCTCTTTTATTTATTTCTGTTTATTATCAATTAAAATAAATACCTTAATTAATCCTTTCAAACATAATTATATATTGCATTACTTTCAGTCAAAATTTTTACAATATTTAAGTGTTAAGAACAAAAAAATAAATTGGAATTATTTAATGAAAACATAAGTAAAAACAAAAAACTAAAAAAAGTAAAAAACATACAAATCATATTCTGGTGAACGTCCATTTGGATCACGAAAACCTTTCGCAAATGGATTTTTTTCAATTTTTAACTTTGTAATTAATTGATTTTGATATGCTGTGACAGCCATAAATTGAGTTTCTTTAAATTGAAATGTTTTGTAATGTTCGTTGTGCAAATCAATTGTTAAAGCCTAGAAGAATGAGTGCAAAGATAACATCAAAAAATAAAAAAAAATTTTTCTTTCATTTTCTTCTTCTAATGGAGTTTAATTATATTTTATTAATAGCTACAATTTTTGCTTTCCTTAAAAAAAAAAAGAAATTAGACTTTAATTTTGAAGTAATCATTCTGAGATTTTTTTTTTTTAACATAAACATGTGAATCGATCATATTTTGATTAACTGATGAAAATAAATTATGGAATTACAATCAAAGAATAAAAAGTTTAGTCTTTCTGAAACTCACTGGATGTACTGCTTTAAAAAAAATACCTTTTAAGAAAGTATAATTTAAATAATATTCCTCTGGGATTAAATTTTGATGAGAAAATAAAATTACCTGTTCAATTGGTCGCTCACGTGGTCGTCTTACAACATGTATACGTGGTTGATATTTGTGCATTGAATTTAAAATTAGCTAAAAGTTAGTTTAATTTGACGATGATAATGTAAGCATATGCATTATTAAGTAAATTTAATAATTCGAAATTTTTTTTTTAACTGAAGGAAACAACTTACATGTCCAGTTTTGTCAACTTCATTATTGGTCAGTTTGGCTTTTTCAAATGATATAACTTGATTGCAAAGCTATAACAAAAACCACTAAAAATATCAATTTAGCTTTTTTTTCAATATTTCAATGTTAATTTTAATGATAATTAAATCTATCAGTTCTTTTTATTTTAATCATTGATCTGTGGCGGGGAAAAATTTAGAAACCTGTTCACCGGTGAATGGAGAATCAGGATGCATATACAGTCGATTTCGAGGTGTAGGTTCAGCTTTACCAGCTGTTAACCAAGATGACTTATTATAAATATACCGGTAACGTCGATTGTCCACCGGAACTACATCCAGAAACACGTAATAAAACACATCCGGTTCACAACCACTAATACTTAATTTCATCGTCGGAAACATACGTCTATAATTAAGGCTGATTTTTTTAGCTTTTATTTATGCCTAAAATAATTTCTGTAAACTTCTGAAAATAAGTTAAAAAAGAATTTTCAAATATTTTGCAACTAATTTGCTGATTATTCAATAAGTAATAATAAAAAATGAATTCTTTCCTAGCATTATATAATCATTTCAATTAATTCAATTCTAATTCACCAACGCAAATTTAATTATATATTAGTTATACTATTATTTTTTCAACAATTAACATTTTCACTCCCATTATTTCAATCATATCATTCTAAGTATACATAGCAATCGATAATTTATTTTTGATTAATTTGATTTTTAAAATTAATTGAATTTGAATTTGTCAATGCAAATTCATTGCTTAACTATTTATTATCATACTGCCACGATCAACCTTAACAATTTATAATATTTTAACAAAAATCTTTATATCAATAATTAATAGGATTAATGTATCAACAACAACAATAGCAACAACAACAAACAACAACAATGATCTATTTATTCACTATATTAGATGCTATACATGTGTGTGTGTGTGTGTGTGCCTTTATTTATAGATTATGATCATAAAAATCTCGCCATTAATTGCTATCATTGATGAATGATAAAGATTAGATGTGTTGCAGGAATGATGATAATAATGGTAATATTAGTGATAATAATAGTAATAATAACAGTAATAAAGAGAAATATTTCTGAATTTGTTTGAAAGAAAGAAATAAAAAAAATTCGTTTAAATTAATTTTGTTGTAATTAAATGAATAATATATTTAATTACAATTATGCTACCATTTTTTTTCGTTTAGTTTTTTCTTTCTGTTGCAAATATGAAAAAAAGTTGGAATTTTATTTTCTATTTTTTATTAATATTTGATCAATTACGAAGCATTACCGTATTATAACTACTGTAGGAATTGCTACCGTATGCTGTGAATAAAGCAGGGAGAAAATTTTTAACTTTGTCATATTTAATTGTATAAAGTATGTAAAATAGTAGTAAATCAAAAAGCAATTGAATTATTGTAAGGATTAATTGGAAGTTATAAATTAATTAAGTTTGTATTTTTCATTTTTTTTATTATATCATAATCCCTTGCATTAAAATTAAATTAGTTTATATGCTAGAAAAATTAATGAAATGCAATAATGTTAATTTACTTATAAATTATTTAATAAATTTGATCAAATGCTATTTTCTTTTAATTTGTGCTTAATCAACTAATTTTTCAATGGAACTTAACTTTCAGCTACTTCTTTTTCCCACAATTTCATATACTTTTATGAGTACTAATAAAATTTGCTCGTTGCATACATATATTTATTTATTTATTTAAAATATGCATTTGAAATTTTTAATAGTTAACTCATTCTAATAAACATTTCATAACTTAAAGAACAGTAAGTTTCTAATTTGAATATATTAACATACGAAACGAGCGCTATTGTCATTTGGTAGAATCAATCAATAATAGTTGCAATACTTATTGAAACGATAATTTCTTGAAAAGAATTTATTACTTTATTCGTTAACATATGGTAAAATAAATAATTTACTAAAATAGCATATAATTGAAGAAGGAAAGGCAGAAAAGAAAGACGAAATCATAAAAATTGATTTTCGATTGTTCCTTTTTCCTTATCGAATTGATTGCAAAAAATTTTAATTAAGATTTTAAATTAGTTGAAATGAATGAAATTAAATGAGGTAATAAATTAATTTCTAGGCTATTTGTGTTGAATATTATTCTACTTTTTTTTTTCATTTTTTAAGAAATTGTCTTAAGAATCGTATTGGTATTAGCTTAATGATTTTTTTTTTTTTTTTTGATTTTAATATAAAAAGATGTATTAATCTAAATAAGAGGATTTCTTGTTAGTAATTGATTGAGTGTTATCCTACTTTTTCAGCTGATATTTTAAACTTGTGACGTAGTAAACTGATTCCAATACAATTCTTATATTAGCCCAAAAATAAAATATTTACGAGATAAGAAATTTAATACTGTGATCAAAGTAAATTCAAAGTTGTTGAAATGAATTTGAACTGAGATGGATGCAAAGATGACAACGATACAGTAGTGTCAAAGCGTGCGGTGGTGACAGCAACGATCGATCAATATGTTCAATTAAATGCGAGATCTATTGCATTCATGCTTGCCATATTAATAAAAGATTTTTGTTAAATTAAATTAAAATGCATTTGTAAATTTATTGATGCAGTAAAATGCAATGATAATAATTACTATGATAATGACAATAGTGATTAATAATGAAAGTAATGTAATAATAATATTAATAGTAGTGATAATAATAATAATAATAATAATAATAATAATAATAATAATAATAATAATAATAATAATAATAATAATAATAATAATAAATATTTTACAGGAAGTTGGCGAATGCGAGACAATGTTTTTGATTATTTTTTATTATTAATAATAAGTATTAAAAAAATTTGCTTTGCTAATATCAAATCGATCATTTATTAGTATAAATCATATTTAATATACTTTAAAGAAAAAAAAAGTTTCGGTGTTTTGCTTTGGAAATGAAAAAAAGAGAAAAGTTAACAATGAAAAAATTGATGCAATCAGATAACAAATTTTTTTTATTGATTGGAAAGTTTCAGTGTTATCATTTTTATTGTCATCATTATCATCAAAGAGTATGGAGAGAAAATTATTGCATCAATGTTTAAAGTTTAACAAGTTTTAAATTTAAAAATGTTGAAATTTTTTAATTTAACAATGGTTTAAGAATGGGGAAAAAAGTATTAGGATGAAAAGAAAAAAACGAACTTTTAATTTTATATTAAAAAGGAATTTTTTTTATTTGTAAATGATTTTCAGTTATATTCATGAATGGCTTCAATGCTATTAATTTGTATTCAATTATTCATTTAATTTTAGTCATTTCTCATTGTTCAGTTTCTTTTTTTGACTACTTCAATAATGAATATTCGATTATTTAAATGTTATTGAAAAAAAAAAAAGAAAATTTGTCATATATTTAATTTATAATCTTATAGCAATGAAAAAAGTAAGCAAATTCATTCCATTCATTACAATTTGATACGGTCAGTCATTTTTTCAACTACCGTAATTTTAAACATTGTTGTTGCATTAGCAATTATTGGTTGCTTACTTAATTAAGCTTTAATTAGGATTGCATCAAAACAGCATTGAGATAAAATGCATTGATATAAAAGCAATTTTGCAAATTGCGCCATCATTTTACTATGCTTTTAACTGAATTACTTAAGAAATGAATGTTTTGTAAAGCAAAATTATTTGTTATTCTTTTTATGCTAATTCCCTTTTGATCACTTTGCGCTCTTTCTTCTTTTATCATTTTCATTTTACTTCCGATCAACTACCGCTTCCTCTCATTCTTCCTCTCGTAATCATTCGTTGACATCAAAAATGTAATACTATAAATTGTCACCTATGGAAGCATTTCAATACAAATCAAATTACCTACCACATTGTTAATTATTTGAGATGAAGCAAATTTCATTTTATTAAAGATGAATAATCAATCAATCCTATAAGATAAGCGACAAATGCTCACATTTTGCATATTTGATGAACAATTCATGTGATATTAATAAGTGTTATTTGTCATGAATTAAGATAGAAAGATAGTTATAATTGCTTATTTTTTTAAAATATTTATTTCTTAAATATTTAAAATACTTAAATTGAATATTATTATGTCTTGAATACCTGAATTAATGTATTAATTTAAATAGTTGAAACAATTAATCTATTTTTTTCCTTTTTTCTGTTTCTTTTAGCATTATTTTAATTTAAAACAAACAAAAATAATTTGCCTAAGCTAAAATTTCCATCAGCAATGTGTGCTACTATTAGAATAAATGAGAAATGATATTATTATCAATGCTAGCAATAGGTAATATTTATTAGTAAATAAAGAAACTGGCATTTGTTGAAAATTGAGAATGTAAAGAAAGATCAAATAACATTGCATTAAATTAAAAATATTCAAAATTATAAAATTAATATTTGAAGAAATTACTTGAAAATTTTATCACTTATATTTTCCATTAATATATTTGGAAAATTAATATATTTCTTAAAATTAATATTTTTTTAACCATTGCAATTTGCAACTAATTCTTTAAATTATATTTTGATATTACTTTAATTCGTTGCTATTTGTCTCATGTTTTAAGTCTATCTTCTTGGCTTTTTTTTTTTTAAATTATATCAGACAAGATATTTTATCATAAAGAGTGACTATTTTCAAACAATAATTAAAAGGAAAAAAAGAAGCAAAGACAAACTTACCGTCCACTTTTAGTAATAATCATTTCGGTGCTAAGTTCATAAAATTTGTTCCACAATTCTCGTCCTTCCAGTCGACATGTGATATGTTGAAGTATATGAGAATTCCCGGGTAACGGTGAAGTCTTGGGTAACTGTTCCGTGCTACTCTCACCTTCGTCCATCTCAGCATTATCCTTACTATCATTGCTGGTTCCTGCAGCAATTGTCGCTTTTTCAACTTTTTCATACGTACCATCCGTATCCAACAAATGATCAATCATAAATTTGAATCGTTTCCGTGCTGCCAAATCAAGTGGAATATCCGGAAAGTGTCCGGATGCCGGAATATTTGCATGTAGTGTGTCTATGGAACGTTTCTCACCTTTTCTAGCCATAATTAAAGAGAATAATATTCAATTGGTCGTTTATATTCTCTGCAATGTTTCTTTAAAAAGAAAAAATTATTATTATTAATGTCATTTATGTTTTTTCTTTTCATTTCTTTTAAACATTTTCTTTTCTCACTTTAAACTCATCGCTCATTAATTTTTCCATATACATTGATCGATGCAAAAAAGAAAAAAAGAAGAAAAAATAAAGAACAAGAAGAAGAAAACAAATGGATAAGAATGAATGGTAGAATTTGTTTAAAATAAAGTTTAAATAATATTTTCTAATGTTTACACTGTTTAC